CAAACTGGTTTAGATGGAGCTGATATTCCAGAACATCCAGAATATAAAACATTAATCAAACAACAAGATGAAAATTATCTATGGAATATTTATCAAAAGATCATTAGTGTTGGAAGACCAGTAACATTAATTGCTACTGGATCATTGACTAATATTGCTTTGTTATTGAAAATTTTTCCTCAAGTATTTTATTTTCAAGCGAAATGTTTTTATTTTCATATGTTTTTTTCTTAAATTTAGATAAAGAATTCACTATCAGAAATCGTTCTTATCGGTGGTTGTATTGGTATTGGAAATAAAACGCCTAGTGCAGAATTTAACTTTCTGAGTGATCCTGATGCAGCTCATATTGTATTTACATCTCCTCATGTTCCACGTCTTGTTATGGTTCCATTAGAATTAACACACACTGTTTGTGCAACTCCAAATGTTAGTGAACGTTTACGTTCATTAGCTAGTCCATTTTCATCAATTCTTGATCATTTACTTCATTTTTTTGCTTCAACTTATAAACAAGTATTTCAATTTGATTCACCACCATTACATGATCCTTGTGCAGTTGCATATGTTGCTGATAAAGATTTATTTGAAGAACAAATGATGCATGTTGATATTGAACGAACAAGTGAATTTTGTCGAGGAAGAAGTGTTTGTGATATATTTGATATGTATCGAAGAGAAAAAAACTGTGTTGTAGTTATGAAAATTAAAGAAGTTGAACAATTTTGGAATATGATGTTAGATGCTATTGAATTGGCAGATAAGAAAAGCCCAGTGAATTCAACGAAATCAAATTAATAATTATTCACTGTTATTTTTTTTATTTCTGTTATGTTTTGAATGAATTATCAAGAGATAAAAATGATTGAGAAATGAAATCAACATTGAGTTAAGAAATTCAAAAATAAACTATGTATCTCATTGAAATTGTATTTATATACATTTAAAGTTAGCATAAATCTAACATAAACTTTTTATGATAGAAACAATAACTTTTTTAATATTTGAAAACATCACTTATTTTATGTGTAAGACAACATTTGATACTATGTGAATCATTAATATCTTTACTCCATTTGAAAGTATTGGGCTGATTTTTTCATCAATAATAGAGGAGTGTTCAAAGTTTTTTTTTTGTCATAAAAAGATACATACAAAACCTGTAGAACACATCAATGCAAATGCTCAAAATGATGTCCATATGAGTGGGATGTTTGATATCAGGAAATAGAAGACCCATATCCAGTTCACTATTAGAAAGCTGTACATGTGATATGACTGATATAGAAGAAAAATGAATTCCGAATCATAGAAAGAAAGAGATGATCGAGTATAGGTGTCGGAAAAGAAATCAATACACAAAGGAATTTGTTTATATTATTTGATATCAGTATAAAATATTATAGTACGATATCGAAGTGAAGGTTGACAATTGAAAGCAGTGTTCATTAGAGATGTTTTTAGGAAAAACTTTGAACACTCCTCTATTATTGATAAAAAAGTTAGCTCAATACCTTCGACCAGAGTGGAGACTATAGCCCTTCGGACTCAAAATCTTCGGATCAGAACCTGAGTGGGCCCAGGTCCGACGAGTTCTAGTGGAGATATTCAAATTCTTTATCGTAAAGATCTTCATGGTCCAATCTGTATATCCATATACTTATACAATATATTGAAGTCATTAATAAATGACGTAATTTATTTAAAAGATCGAATTCTATTGTGAATAAACAAAAAATGAAATACTTCAGAAAAATGTGAGTAGTGCCTGCTGTATATTATGATGGAAATAAACGATTGTATAAACCTTATACATGTTCAGATAGTTAATAATTAAGTCTCGTATTGTTTTTTATGGGCAGAAGAAAACAAAACAAACTGATAATAAAGATTGTACTCTTAACTGTAAATTATTCGCCGCTGCTTTTTAAAATTTTTTCCAATTTATTTATTAATAAAGTATAACATATATCAAACTTAATTTTTGTTTGTGTCATTAACAAAGTCATCTATTTTTTCATAGCTATTCCTAATCAAAAACATTTTGAAACAGGAATCAATTAATGATGATTAAAGTTTTCAGAGCTCTATGAAATAAAGTGTTTTTTTTCTTGAAGTCAATATGTAATTTAAGGACATTTTTGATCTAAAATTTTCAATGTCGTTTTACTAGCTATGAAAAGAAACCAGTTTATTCAGTTCAAAGATTGCAGGACAATTATTTTTTCTTCCAGAAAATGATTTTTATGTCATTATAAACTATCCTTTGTTGTTATGATTGTGTACTACTCATAAGAGAATAGAAGATTTACATAGAATAGATGAAATTGATAGATTGAGGACAAAAGAACTTTTTCATACTTGGTATTAATGACAATCGGATTCAGAAACGATTTTTGAATTAATCAATTTGTCTTGTTCTATGAAAATACTATTCGACTGTATTTCTTCTGTTCCTCTCAATTGAAATCGGTACAAACTGATGATTATTAGTAAATTTGTTTTGATTTCTCATCATATTCCAAAATTTATATTCAAAATATATAGTGTACATGCCAATAATACTATTCGCCTTTGTCATGTATAACATTTTCGAAACTTTACTTTTGAATTACTGACTTCATGTAGCATTAACAACTCAAGCTGTTTTTATTTTATTTAGCGTTCAAAATAGAAACAATTCTGAAACAGGATACACAACTTTTTTGATCGTTTTAACATTGTCATTCAATATTTTAGTTTACCAATGTTCACTTCTATCACAATCATCTTATTTTATTGATATGTGTTATGAACTAGAAGATCAGTGTTGTTACTGTGTCTTAACAATCATATTTTACTTATATAATTCATCGCGTCCCGACATTTGTAATACTTCGAAAATGTCCTTATATGATTGTCACAAAATTGAAGAGAAAAAGAAAAACTTATTGTCAAGGACTACACTAATGAAAAAAATCGTATAGCAAGGAAAAACTAATCATAACGATCTTTATTCGTCATAATGTTTATTCGTAAACATATTACCATATTTACCTTTTTTTTCGTACACTTATCTAGGATAGAGAGAATGATTTGTAATACAATCCTTTCTTTTTGATTCATTCATATGAAAAACGAAACATTTTATTTCTTCTCATGGTTGATATAAGAAAAAAACCTATTTGGCTTGATTGTGATCCTGGACATGATGATGCATTTGCTATTATTCTAGCTGCATATCATCCATCACTTGAATTAATTGGTATTTCAACTGTTGTTGGAAATCAAACACTTGATAGAACAACACAAAATGCATATAAAGTTGCTTATATAGCTGGTCTTTCAAATAATATTCCAATAATACCAGGTTGTGGAGAATCACTTTGCCAACATGTTGTGACATGTCCAGAAGTTCATGGACAAACTGGTTTAGATGGAGCTGATATTCCAGAACATCCAGAATATAAAACATTAATCAAACAACAAGATGAAAATTATCTATGGAATATTTATCAAAAGATCATTAGTGTTGGAAGACCAGTAAC